ATATTTTTTTCGTACAACTAAGAAATCTGCGAGATTAATAGTTATCTTATATGAAAATTTAAACTTCATAGTAAAACAAAATGTTTTTCTAAAAAAAAAAGTTGACCGGACGGATTTCACATTCGCCGATGTACGCTTTGATTATACTGAAATGATCGACAAAAAGTGTTATAAATATCTCTTTTGTTTTTAAATATATTTTTTTCTTCGTGAAACTAAGAAATCTGCGAGATCAATAAATATGTTAATATATGAAAATATAAACTTTACAGTAAATAAAAAAAGTTTTTCTACAAAAAAAAGTTGAGCTGACGGATTTCGCTACAAATAATAAAGACCAGATCAACAAAAAATGTTGATATTTCTCATATCTAACAATATTTGTCGGTGAAATTAATAAACCTTTAAGAAAAATAATTGTATAAATGGTATTGTATGTAAATACTAACTCAATAATAATAATAATAATAATAATAATATCTTTATTTAAAGAGAGTAACTCATTTGAATTAAACCCAATCGTAAGGTAATTCAAGACCATATCAAGACCACTTTCGGCTATTTTTTTGCCATACATTTTGTCCGTTTCGAGTAGCATTTTCATTTTTTGCACTTAAATCAAAACGTCATTTGCTTTCTCTTGCTTTAGTGAACGGCCCTTTGAGCGGGTCGCCATTTTAGAAATTAGCAACCTTTACGACGGACTCGAAACGGCGACGTCATAATACGGTCACGACACTATAGCGGCGCCGAGAGCGATGCGTATAAACAATAGTGTGATTTCCCTTTAACATTACATTCACTCTGTGGTTAAAAGTTTTAAAAAATTTAACAACTTTCTTAAACTATCTTTAATTCCGATTTGTACCAAACTTGTACAGAAGCTTGTTTATGATTAAAAGCTAGTATCTAGAAGGAAATTTTGTTAAAATTTTGTTCCATTTTTTCCTTATTTCACTTATAAATGGACTTAGTTTTTCTTCCAGTTAACATTACACACAGTCTGCAGTTTAAGTTTTTAAAACATTTATTAGATTCATAAACTATCCTGAATTTTTACCAAACTTGGACAGAAGCTACTTACAATCAAAAGATAGTATAGAGAGGAATATTTCTACTAATTTTTTTCTTCATTTTTGTTGAGCCTGCGATTAACAGTAAAAGTAGGCGAGACACTGAGTTCCGCGGAACCCTTACGAATTTTTGATTTCAGGATGGAATACATGTAGTTTTACAAATTAGGCGGATGTTGTCAGTTCGAATGTCTGACTCTTACTAAAGTCAAAACTTCAGAAAACATATTTAAATCAAGAATTTACAAGGTTACAATTTCATAATAGAAAAGAGATTACTGAATGACAATGAAATAATAAAATTAGCACTCAAAGGATTAACATAAGAATATAACAAAAATCTGTCGCTTTAGTTTTAGGCTGAATAAGCGCTAATTGAAATGACTAAAGGATTGATTTTTCTTTACGTCAGAAAACTTAAGAACTATGTAAAGCTGTGACTTTATCTACTATTTATCAAAAGTATTATCTTGAAACAAATTTCCGCCTTTGTGAAAATATACTGACACTTAATTGTTACTTCTAACATAAAAAGCTTTATAAAGAAAAATCGTTACATGTTAATAAAATTACTTTGACGGACAAATATTGCAAATAAAACGATTTCAATAAAATAATAATTAGTTTAACAATGTCATTACAATTTATGACCGAACATTTTGCTAGTGAAAGTTAAAAAAAATCAGATTTAAGAAAACTATTCTTTTTAAATAGTTCCAAATGAAAATGCACAAGTTACACAAATTAGCGCTATCACAGATGACTGGAAATGCCGTTTGATTTTAAGACACACACGTTTTATCTTGCGTAGACATGCGTCAAATATATTTCAATGTTTCTCTTCGAAATAATTTTTTTTTAAATAAATACGCATGATCTGTAAGGTTTTTCAGATTTCTGAAGAATGCGCTATTCAAATATTGTCCAAATTTTCTGTATTACGAAAATTTTGGAGAAAAAAATCAGAACAGACAAATCTAACCTTTCATGCCTTGTGTTTCCTTGATAAAAATAACATAAACTCACGCCAGGTAAACCATCAAATCTCAACCATTTGGAGAAAAAAATAGGAGAATGTCATTACTCGGACCAATATAACATTGATCGGAATGACTTTTCTCCCACAAAAAATCGTTGTACTCTAATCAAAGTATCAAGGACCATATTTGTTATTCTTTATTTTAAAATTGATAGAAACTTGCAATTCTCAAACTGAATATTTTTGTAAAACCAAAGATTTTAATAGCAGGATATATAAAAATCAATGTGAAAACTAATTACAAACATTTTTTTTTGTATTTCGGACACAGCATTTTATTCCAAAATAACCAGTTATTTATTAATAAGTTTTTAATTGATTACGATACAATGAAATCTTACCCTTATGGTCATTCATGCATAGTTACTTAGTCCACGGAAAAAGTATGTACTTTAAAAATTAGAAGGCAAATTCAAGCAATTTGATTGGACGAGAAGTTGTAATAATGTGCTAAGTCTAGGTTAGTCTATGGAAAGGAATATACTATGAAATTTAGAGCGAGGGGCTTGCCCCGAGCTCTTAATTTCATAGTATATACCTTTTCATAGACTATCCAATTTAGCACACATTTACAACTCGAGTAATCTTTTAATTGATCTATTGATAGTTTATTTTGGCTGACTACTAGTATCACAGGTGTTTGTAAAAAGGAGCTCATTAACGCAGTTTTGTAAATCTACTCACGAGTATTATTGTAAAATATGTGATTTCAAAAGGCCCTTCACTCCAGAATGAAAAGATGGTAGCTGCTGGTGTAAGTATGTATACTGATATAAAGCGGTGTTTTACTATACATGTTCTTCTTACATGGTAAGATGACAAAATAAATTGACCAAAAGCAGGCATTAATTAAATTGCAGTGGAAGCTTTACATGTTTTGATAACATTTTTTAATTTCACAGTAAAACTAAAGCTATAATAAATTTAAATTTGAAACATAGAGATAGTTTGTCCCCATAGATATAGTCTAGCAGATAGGCATTAAAAAGCAACTACCAATACTAGTAGATCAGAGATTATAGGTTTTGTGTTTTGTGTTTTTTTTTTTTTATTATTATTTCAAAGTAAAAACTAAAAGATTTATCAGAATATGTTTATATATATATATAGGTGGCACATTATCTTCAGACATAATCACAGTTTTTCAATTTATGACATCGTCCTGAACATGCATGAAATATTTGCCACTGGACATTAAGCAACCAATAATCAATAAATCAATCAATTCATGACGAAATAGATCACCTTCCTTAAGAAAGTTTAAAAAATTATCACCAAGTTGCTTTAATTTGTCCTGCACAAGGTTTCATAGTACACACTTTTCTGTGTACAAAGTAATTGCATGGATGATACATTATCATAATTTTAAGATATCGTTGTACTCTAATCAAGGTATAAAGAACCATATGTATTACCCTTTATTTTAATGATAAAATTTGCAATTGTCAAAAACATTTTTAGATCCAAAGATTTTAATAGCAGGATATTTAAAAATCAACGTGAAAACTAATTACAAACTATTTAATTTAATTTGGAACACAGCATTTTATTTCAAAATAGCCAGTGGCAATTTTTGTTTTAAATATCTTGATTACGATACAATAAAATCTTACCCTTGTGGTCATTCATGCGTAGTTACTTAGTACACAGGAAAAGTATGTACTATGAAAATTAGAAGGCAAATATAAGCAATTTGATTGGACGAGAAGTTGTAAGTATGTGCTAATAAATTATGCGAGTACACGGATATACATTCATCTTACCTACCGCTTCAATTAGAGGAGATAAAATAAATAAATCAAAAAGGTACACGGGTAAAGCAATTATCTGGTATTCGAAGCGTTACTAAATAGTTTTTCTAAAAAAAATCATTGGGGTACAAAGGACAATGATAGACAATCAAGTTAGCATGGAAGACAGTCGAGCTGACTATTAATTAGGCTCATAGTGAAACTTGTTAACTAGACGTGTAAATTGGGTGTAAATTAATAATACAAGTTTAACCAACCAAAATAAGGGAGTTAAAAATGCTTTTGAAATATAGCTATGTAAGATCACACATGAGCAATTAATATCCTTTAGATTGGTTAATTAAAAGACAAACCCTTTTTTCATCTTTATAGGCTCTAACAACAGGAACTTGGTGTCAACGTATATTTGTTCCGCCTAACAGAAGTTCCACTGGAAACTTTGTTATAAACAATGGCATAATATCTGTTCCTGTTGGAACAAATATTCTATACCATTTATTCCGTTGGGAACATTTACTGTAATATTTATTCCAGTGGAAATAATATTCCAGAATATTGTTTCCATTTGGAATTTATATGATGAAGGAACTTCTATTCCGTGACACTTGGAACACACTTGTTTCATAATTTGAGATTTTTATATTCATGGTATTCCCATGTTTGTCATGTAAGATATCAATCAACATTATATAAAAATTAATAATGAAAATATTTTTACAAATAACAAAAAGCAAAACTATGAAAGGCTGATATACAATTTGTTTTGGAAAAGTCTTTTGCAAAGTTTATTTAATGATAAAATTACAAATACTAAAATCCCATCGAGATTAAAGACAAATGTACAAATAATAACTAGTCCAATTTCTTTGAAACCTTTGAAGCACTATTTTCAACAGGTTCAAGTTTCATGAGTTTTTATTCTATAAAATGATCATCCTATATCTCGCAACTTTTAAAGATATTTTGTGTTCTTTGAATAACAGATCCTTGAATATAATTGTACACATACTTTTCACCAATAATTATATTTAAATGGTTCATGATTTATTCGAGTCACTGAAAACAAAATGCTATCAATGTATACATACACGTTTCCTTTATATTCTTTATTTAAAGCATAAAACTATGTTCACTTACCAATTGGAACTGAATAAAATCCTGCATCAATTGTCCCACGCTTAATTTACATGGGGACCGATATGTATCAACAATACATTTTCATAATTTTCAGAGCATGAAATTCTAATAATCAACGATGTGTCACATTTAGATTTAGGATGTAAAGACCCTGAGGTGAAGTCAAGATGTTTTGTTTGTAAAGAATTGTTTTTATAATGTGATTGGCCGTTCAATTTTACCCCAGGCATTTTCTTTTCCTTAAAATAAAAACAAATTTGACTCGTATTTACAATTTCTTTAATGTTCATCATAAAGATAAGATATATCAGATAATTAAATTTATATATATTAAAGTCGGGTTAAACTTTGTAAAACATAGAAAACACAAGCTCACAAGAAAATACATTACAGTAAAACAATTCTTGCAAAGTATTTGATAACAGAAATATAATGACAATCATATTTAAAAAGACATCTAATAATAAAAATCTCATCGCATTAAAAATTTGCTGGTACATGTACAATGTACTTAAAAAACTTTAAAGGTAAAGAAAAATGAAGAATACACGTAATTGTTTTCAATTTCATCATTAATCTCAATAACAAATGTTTCCACGCGTGATTTGTTTTTTTACGAGTTTGTAGAATAGTACGGTTGAAGGATTGTCCGTATTTTGCTGATATAGCTTTCTCCTTTCAATCCCATATTTTTGTCTTTTCTGGCTACGGAGTTTTTTTTTCATTTTTAAGATCGTGCCTGCTTTGATGATTTTCGGGTTTGCCAGAAGATTTCCATTTTGAGTGTAGTTGTTTATAAAAATAAGAAGATGTGGTATGATTGGCAATGAGACAATTCTCCACAAGAGACAAAATGACCCAGAAATTAACAAATATGGGTCACCGTAGGGCTTTCAACAATCAGCAAAGCCCATGCCGCATAGTCAGCTATAAAAGGCCCCGCAATGACAAATGTAAAACAATTCAAACGAGAAAACTGACGGCCTAATTTATGTACAAAATAATGAACGAAAAACAAGTATGTCACACAGCAACAAATGACACTGAATTACAGGCTCCTGACTTGGGACAGGCACATACAGGATGTGGCAGGGTTAAACTCGTTTGAAGACGCCAACCCTCCCCTTACCTGGGACAGTGATGTAACAGTACACCATAAGAACAAACTATAAAAATCAGATGAAAAAGGCTTAACTCATCAAATGGATACAAATAGAAATACGTCAACATAAACACAGAGTTTCAACATTATCGGGATCATTGTTGTTGTGGACTTTCTCCTTCTCCCCCAAATAGCAATTTTTCTTTCATTATTCTGGTTTGCACCTCTTATATTTTTCTTTCAGCTCAAAGTTTTTCCGCTTATTTGATTTCGCACATATTCAATATTATTTAATTTATGCGACATATTTATATTGCTCACTTCTGAAGTTCACCGCTATAGATACTCAATTTTCCAAATGATGCATATGTTGTTTTACTGACAAAAGTTCACTTTTCAGGTTTGTAAATCGAGTTTCTTTACCGCTCAAACCTTTTACCTATGGAGGATAAGGCCTGCACTACATCGGATATTGAATCTTATCTATGTAATTGCAAAAATATATCGTGAAGTATTTGATCGAGACAAAAACGAGGAATCGATGCTCCTGGAATTTTGTGGAGGGGTGCTGGCGAACTTTTGATAACAGCAATAGAAATTTGAAATCTAAATTTGATTTTGATTTCTACAAAAGTTAGAAAAAATAAACTAAGTTTTGTAAACATTTTGAGATGGGCCCCTCAGGCACTGATTTTATTGTAATGATATCATTGATGACAATAGAGGACAATAGTTAGTACCGGTACAACAATTGGTGATTTAAACAGTGTAATGGAGTGGACAGTTAGAGATGAAATTCAGGTTTTTGGTTTTTTTTCCCATCTTTTGGAGGGAGCCTTGGTTGCCAAGTTTTCTAGCTAGTACAAGTAACAGTAAATCAATGGAAAGGTATATACATGTACTATGAAATTTGGTGCGAGGAGCTAAGCCCCGAGCTACAAGAACTACTACTAATTAGGATTAATGGTGGCTACCTTGGAGGGTATTGCGCCAGATTATCATGATATGAAAATATCAAATTTAATTTACATATAAAAAAAGAAGATGTGGTATGATTGCCAATGAGACAACTCTCCATCAGAGACCAAATGACATAGAAGTTAACAACTATAATAGGTCACCGTACGGCCTTGAACATAGTCAGCTATAAAAGGCCGCGAAATGACAAATGTAAAACAATTCAAACGAGAAAACTTACGGCCTGATTTATAAGAAAACAATGAACAAATACATGTATGATATCCAGCAACAAACGACAACCACTGAATTACAAGCTCCTGACTTAGCACAGGCACATACAGAATGTGGCGGGGTTAAACATGTTTGCTGGCGCCAAACCCTCCCCTTAACCTGGGGCAGTGGTGTAACTATAAAACACACAGTTTAAAAGGGCTTAACTCCGCAGATCGATACAAAGCAGAAAAACATCTAACAAATAAACACTCATAATTGAGACTCATTAGTGACGCTCGAATAAAAGAAATTACCATATCAATGATAATTCATGTCAACACCGAAGTGCTGACTACTGGCCGGACTGGTGATACCCTCGGAGAGAAAAACTCCACCAGTAGTAGCATCGACCCAGTTGTAAAAAGTAAAATAACAAAAATACCGAACTCCAAGGAAAATTAAAAACGGAAATTCCCTTAACAAATGGCAAAACCAAAAGCTCAAACACATCAAACGAATGGAAATAAAACACAAAAACACCGACCGAACGTGGCAGAGTAATTATACATCCCCAAAACAAAAAAGACACTAAGTACAGATCTGAGAGTACTCGCAGTTACTGACAACTAGTTCAAAACCAATAACAACTAATAAAAAAATCATACATTTAAGACTAAGTTATAAATCAGTACAAATCCAACATCCAATGGATTTAGTGTAAAGACGTTCTTAACAGTCAGAGAAAAACATGACCTTGTGCAATGCCAAGATACAGGTATCGACAGATTGTTGACTATCAAAATTACATATTTTAGGTGTACATCAAAACGTATTTGAATATCTGTTTGTGAGTTTAAAAAAACCTATATACCTGTTAATATGAAAGATAAAAATGCCGTAATTTTAGTTTTATTAACATTATCAAATAATACGATTTTAATACATAAACATTAAAAGGGGGGGGGGGAGATTTTACTATCGTGTAGTAAAGAATGTAAAGAATCCTTACTATTCGTTTTTAGATATGATATTTTGATATTACACATTATGGTTGTGTAGTGACTTGATATAGTTTTTATTATGTGGTTGAGTCGTCATTAGGCAAAGAGATTTTAACATGCTTGATATGGTTTTGTTATTTCGTAATGATGAATCGTCAATTCTTTAAATGGCTAAATATATCATTAATTTATATGACTTTATCACTTCCCAATGTTGTATACACGTTACTCGATGAGGCTTTAAAATTAATCTACCGGTATGTGGATTTCACATTACATAATGTCGTTACAGCGTGATGTGTTCGTTCCAGTGTTTGTGGTTCTCCATTACTTGATGTAGTATTACTTCGTGACTATTTGGGGAAAACATTGTTTTTAATCTAATTTCGGAGGCATTATGTGCCTTGGCTTAAGATGCATAGACCGCAGTATTACACGTTTTCTTGTTACTTCTTAACGTTTTCGAGATGTAAAGGGTAAAACAAAAAGCACCACACTCGAATTTTACATTCGTGCCAATAGATATAACCTGATTTTGGTGCTTAGTGTCTTTTACACGCGGAAACATATTACATTAATCGGAGTATGAGGTACTTTATAAAACAAAATATAAAATTAATGCTAAGATACAATGCTGTTTATTATACGAATGATATGTGACAACTGAAAATTAGCTGTAATGAAGAGCATAGGAATATATGATCTTATATCTTTTGCACGCTTTTTCGTTCTAAAATTATAGCTAGGGCTACAGCTGGACAGAACTGGATACAGCGTTATTTATACACAAAAAAATCAAAGAAATAAGGGAAACAGGCGAAAACAACTAGAACCTGTGTTATTTCTTTATAAACATTAAAGAAACAGTTGTCACGTGATGGAGAACGTTCTCGCTAGAATTCGATCTTCAGCTGGGCCAAACAAAAGATTTGAAAATTTGTATATGCTACTTCTCCGTAAGGCACACATCATTAAAGAGTAAGAGCAAAGACCGTTCGGCTCAGAATCAGAATAATGAGTCCAGGTAGTATAACATGTCTTCCAGTGTACTGTTACATTCTGAACTAATAAATTTGAAAATAAGAATCTACAGTCAGTCTAGTACAAACTTTGTGCAGGGTTCTTATTCCTTTTACTTCAAGAGGGAAGAACAATTTTTTTCGAACGTATTCATTATCACATGTTGTTTGAACTCCTTATTGTATGTGGTGCGATATTATTTTACCTTTGTACACAGTTATTTCCTGTATTTTTTTGGGTAAAATATGCATGTTATCTAGTCTAATGCAAGTCCCCCCGTTCTTACAAGGCAACAGTAATAATTCCCATACCCCGAATAATAAATGGTAATTTTCTCGTCCTGATATGTATGTAATAACTGCCACTGGACGTTAATCATGAATTAACCACTATCATCAAGTTTGCATGGTAGTTAATAAGGTAATGGTACACAGGAAAACATCCTAGGATTAAGCATTCTGACAAGGACATCACCGGTCTCTGTTTCTACTCCTTTATGTTGCTTGCTAAAAAAGGGAAAAAAATAAATTGAAACACTTGTTAGGACAAAGTATAGACAAGACTGTTACTGGTATTACAGGCATTATCAAGCACAAATAACATTGAAACCAAAGCAAGAGCAACACGAACTTTATTAAAACAAAACTCTGGTTAACTCAGGTTCTCCACAAGTGTGAGCAGATCCTGCTCCACTAATGGTACCCATCGTGTTGCTCATTGTAAGTACACATTCTGTGATGAGTTTTATTCGGTGATGTCACAATCGAGACAAAGTG